GACGGCGGAGAGATGCTGCTGGTGTCTTCTTCCGGCGATGTCCTTGGTCGAGCACGCTACTTCGGCAGAATTCTCTGCACCGACCTGCGCCCCTGCTCGACAAAGTCGACGATGACCTCGGCGGAGGTGGTAGCTCTGCGGACTACCGCGCCAGCGACGAAGTTGACCCCAGACATGTTGCACGCATGGCTTGTGCATATCGGTGTCGACACAATCAAGAGCTCGGCGAAACATGAGGTCGTCGTTGGTCTAGACATCAAGAAGTCGACCGTTGCTGATCTGCCATGTGCCTCCTGCGTCGGCGGTAAGCTTGCACGGCACACCTTCCCCGACCAAGGATCGGACGCCAAGAACGCGCTCGATGTGGTGCACATCGACCTCTGCGGACCGTTTCGAGTGGCCGCCAACAATGGCAGCCTCTACTCTCTTCTTCTAGAAGATAGGAAGACTCGTTATGTGTGGGTGAGGCCGATCGCGAAGAAGAGCGACATGCTGGTCGTCTTCGAAAAATGGATGAAGAAGGTGGAGTCGTAGACGTCGAAGACAGTGAAGAAGTTGCGTTCGGACCACCGAGGGGAGTTCCTCGGTCGCGCCTTCACCGACCTCGTCGAGGACAATGGAATCCTCCAGAATCTGATGTGCCTCTACACTCCACAGCAGAACGGGATGGCAGAGGGAGAAATGCGCACGGTGGTCGAGGCCGTGCGTACGATGCTTCTGCACATGGGCGTGAAGCATCACTTATGGCACCTCGCTCTACGACAGACTGTCTAGGTGCGCAACTGCCTCGAGCGGGCTTCTCCGCCGAAGGGGACGACGCCGCACAAGCTGATGTTCGAGAAGAAGACGGATCTGACGCTGGCGCGCGTGTGGGGCTGCATGGTGCAGTTCATGGTCCCCGAGCAGCAGCGCGGCGGGAAGCTGGCGCCGAAGGCTCGTTGTGGTCTTCACCTCGGAGTGTTGCCAGAGAGCAAGAGCTCGGAGGTGTTCGATCTGACTGCCAACAAAGTCGTCACGACGGTCGAAGCCATCTATTACGAGAACATGTAGATGAAGAAGTGGAAGGCAGAGTACGGGCCGGCGTCGACGAGGACGTCGTCTACCCCGCCGCTGGATTCCTCCTTCGAGATGCCTCCGCTGCTCGCCGACGTCGACGAGCCTGATGACGAGGACGTCGTGGAAGTCCCGCTCCCTCCTCCTGTTGTGCCCTCGTCGGCCGCCGGCGATGAGGGGAGCCTTGTTGCGTGGCCTGCGGCGCCGACCCTTTGCATCGCCGGTGGCCGACGTGACACCGAGAAGGTCGGCGACGGAAGGCGGCAGAGGACAGGGGAACTGTCGGCGTCAAAGCCGACTTCAGAAAAGCCATCGGCAGAGGCGCCACATGCGGAGAAGGAGCTGCCAGGCACGGAAGGAGACTGCAGAGAAGCCATCAGCTGAGGCGCCAACTTCAGGGGAGCCGTTGGCAGAGAAGCCAATTCCGGGGAAGCAGTCGGTAGAGAAGCTGCCAACAGAGGATCAGTATGAATACGACGACGTGGTAGAGGTCTCGGTCGAAAAGAAGAAACCACGCCGTTCTACTTGCCCGCTCCAACATTGGCAAGCCGCCGGAGAAGCTGAGCTACCATTCTTGTCTAGCGCCGACAGCCTACAGCACTCTGCTCGACGACGCAGAGGCCGACGTGCAATGCTAGAGGGCAGCTCGCCAGGGTGGTGCAATGCCCTAATGAGGAGCAGGTAGCAGCTGGAATGAGGGTGGCCAAGTATCTTGGCCAAACACAGTCCGTTGGGCTGCAATACTCGGCGGCGGCACAAAGGCGCCAAAAGGGCGCGGATGGTGTGGAACCCGGGCGTTTGTTCCTCACCGCATTCTCGGATGCATCCTATGCATCGGAACCAGAGGATATGACAAGTGTTGGAGGCTTCATATGCCTTGGTTGCAAGCTTCAAGTGATTTCGAAGCTGGCCAAAAGGGTACACCTCAAGATATTGAAGATAGTTACATTACAAAGTGTAGTGTAACATTTCTATGGGTGTAGGCCCTTGTGGAGGGTAGTTTCGAGACCCTTCTTGGTTGGGGACAGTGTGGCACTGTTCCCCATCACTGTACCTCGGCTCTTGGGGTTTGTAGGAGCTGGGAGTCCTTCCCAACTCCCAACTCTTCCTAGATGCTCGTCATTGTGTCTTCTAAGACTAAGTTGCTGCCATAGTGCCGTTCGTTAAAACCGGCGCTGTGTCGTCAATTCTTAATGAAATTGTGCGATCTAAATTGCCTATTGTAGGCGACGTTAAGGCGCTCCAGATCCAAGTTGAATGAGGTCAATTGGAGCTGTGACCAGATCGCTATGATCGTTTAAAACCGCAGTGCAGAAATTCGATTGTGCACTCTATCTTTCGTTTTAGGCACATTGAAGCCTATTGTGACTATAACACTCTGCTCGGTCCAACAAAGTTCGCCGAGCAGAGCAGCTCGACCAAAACTCTTCAACAGAGTTCTTCGATCAGCGCTCTTCGACAGGAGATTGTCGCACACAGATCGTCGACCAGAGCTCATCTCGCAGAGCTCGTTGACCAGATTCTGTCGAGCAGAGCGTGCTTGACTGCAACTTCCGTCGAACTGCAGAAGCCCACTTCTTTGACCAATCTGTCGAGAACTTCCCGTCGATGGCGAGATCGGCTGCGCCTAAGCGAAAGCGGGGCCTTTCTCTTCAACACCGAGGGGCATGGATGGTAGGGAACAAGGGCAGAGGTGCAGGAAAGAAAGGGCAGGGATGGGAGAATCGATGGGTGCGGGGAAAACAAAGGAGGGGCAGAGGGGTTACATGGTAAGCACAGGGAGGGAAGAAACGTGGCGCAGAGAGGGGAGAAACCAAGGACAGGGGCACGAGCAGCCAGGGGCAAGGAGGGAACGGAGGTGAGTTGATTTTCGTACAATCAAAACCCTATGCCAAGTTTGTACAAATTTTGATTGGGATTGTCTTCACGTAAAAAAAAAACCGGACCCAATTTCGACCGAAAGTTGGAGTCATTTGATAGGAGCTCCGACACGCATCTTGCGACAAGGTTTGGCTCAGGTCAAGTTCCAATTTGGCACACGAGCTTTACACCGAAAGATGTGTTTTAAAGAAGGGCGACCTCCCCAAGGTCACCATCGTTGATGAGGACCTTGTTTGGAAAGATGAACGCACCCTAAGCCGGATCGTGTGGGATTCTCTGCTCCACGACAGCAATGTGTATCATCTGTTTCACCTTATTACACCACTCGAAGTAGTCCGGTCTGTTTTGTTCCGGCTGGGCCAGAATTCGCTTGCGACGCTTATTTTTGCAGAAGGGGCCACTCGATCTGCAATGTGGTGTAGGGTTGGGTGGATGGTGTATGAGGGGGAGTTATGGATATAGTTGAAGAGAAAAAGAAAGCTTCAAAGATCTACGGAAAGCGGTGATTTCAAACTTCACTATCTACGAAACCGCAAACGCTTAAGCGACCAAGGTGTTTAGGGGATGAGGCATGGGTGTACAAACACATATCTACATCCTTACCGAAAACAGGCCCCATGCCACCATGCGGCTCTTGAACTTGGTGAACACGACCCTGCCTCTTTTGAAGGAGAGCTTGAACGCATAAGCGAACAAGGGGCTGCTGAAGGGCGTCCCGGTAACTTTGTCAAAGTGCTAGTTGAGGGCCCCCTGTTTTGCATTTTGGCAAGGAGGGTATGGGTCGGAAAGGGGTTGCAGAGAAATCATGTAGGGGGGTGAGAGTCAGGGTGAGGAACACCGCAAGGTGATTTGTACCCTTCCAAGCCGCCACGTCATCCACAAACCTCACATCCCGCCACGTGACACCCTCCTGCATCCGCCAACAACCAGCCCCACATGCCACGTCACACCCACCCACCCCATGCCACGTCACCCCCCACCCACCTGACAAGCGTCGCCTCGTCACGTGCTGCTCCCGTGTACCCTTCGAAATCACCACGTCAGCCCCGACCCTCACATCCCGCCATGTCACACCCTGATGCATCCGCCACGTCCACCAACAACCAGCCCCACGTGCCACGTCACACCCACCCACCCCATGCCACGTCACCCCCCACCCACCTGACACACGTTGCCTCGTCATGCGCTGCTCCCATGTACCCTTCGAAACTGCCACGTCAGCCCCAACCTTCACATCCCGCCACGTTCACCCTCCTGCATCCGCCATGTCCACCAACAACCAACCCCACGTGCCACGTCACACCCAACCACCCCATGCCACGTCACCCCTCACCCACCTGACACACGTCGCCTCATCATGCGCCGCTCTCGTGTACCCTTTGAAACCGCCACGTCAGCCCCTACCCGCCCCATTTGGCCCGCCACATACCGGGATTGGGTTTATCTCCTGCAACACTAGCATTCGTGCCTTGTCCACGGCACTCATCGGCGGCGGGGTACCAGCCATAGGCACGGCTGCGGAACCACCGGCAGAACTGGCAGGTACTCCACGAGCTGTGCAAACATGGCGTACATCATAGACCGCAGCGCCTGGAACTCCTCCCATGTAACAGATTGTTCGTTCTCCGCACTTTCACCTAGGGCACCCATGAGCGGAGGAAAAGGATATGAAGAATACCCCCTCTGGCCAAGGGATTCAACGTCTTCTGCAGCAGTCCCGTGTGCCCTCACACTATCACGCTGGCGGGAAAATGGGAGCTCAGGGAAAAAATTGGCAGAAGTGCTTGGCTGATGCCCGCACGAAGGACTGGCGAGGGGGGAGACCGTCATGCCCCGGACAGGAGAAGCGTGGAGTTGCCGAAATGGGTACGAGGGTGAGGCGAGCGGGGAGTGCGTGAAAGGGGCTGGTGGAGGGGATTTGGATTCCTTTCCTCTTGGCGCGCCGGGTGCAGTCGCAGCGACTTTGCTCGGGCCGGAGTAAGGCGTGTAGAACCTTGGTGCTTGTGTGGATAGCGATGTAACACTCGCTCTTCCGGCCCCTTTCGTTAGCTGCATCCGTTGCACGCTTACCGGTGGCCCAATGCCTGTAACGCAAGAGGCTAAGATTTAGAGGGAGTAGGATCAAGAAATTAGAGTCGATCGGTTTCAATACACAGCCAGACATGCATGCATGAGATCAACGGTATCTAAATCAGGTTACGGGTTGTACTGTTTTGAGGCAATAGGCTTTACCTTGCTTTGCAGATTCGTCGACCTTCTCCTTCCCTATAGAGGAGGAATAATGTGAAGAATGGTGTTATGTGACACAGTTGAGCAGAGACTACAACGACCATGTCATGTGTATTGGCCACAGTGCTCACCTTTCTGCTGTCCCTTCGTTTTTTTTGCTGCCTACGCCTTCTTGTTGCCTCCTTTCCGCGGGGTGCTTTGGCGGCCGCTGCGACGCTTACCGGCAGGTTCTTTCTTGCCGGTACCCACTGGAACCCCTTTGGCGTGGCCACCCTTTCCTCCTCCATTTCCTTTTGCTCCCTGGCTCCCTTGCTTTTTACCACCCCTTCACTTGCAACCTTCACCTTACACGACTTCGGTTTGCCCGATGCTTCACCGTGCGCGGCGTCGACTGCCCCGCGTTTTCGGGAATGGCGACTCTGGCCCCCCACCTTCCCTGTACCACTCACCCGTTTGCCTCGCCCGCCCCGTCCCTTCACTACCGCCACATCCTCCTCCTCCTCCTCCTCCTCCTCCTCCTCCTCCTCCTCCTCCTCCTCCTCCTCCACCTCCTCCTCCTCCTCCTCCGCCTCCTCCTCCTCCTTTTCCTCCTCCTCCTCCTCCTCCTCCTCCTCCTCCTCCTCCTCCTCCTCCTCATCCTCCTCCTCCTCCTCCTCCTCCTCATCCTCCTCCTTGTCGTCCCCCTCCTACTCCTCCTCCTCCTCCTCCTCCTCCTCCTCCTCCGCCGCTGCCATCATTCTCATATTTTTCATCCTCCCCGACATCCGCGTCATCCTCCTCCGCATCCTCTTCATCCTCCTCTTCCTCCGCATCCTCCTCATCATCATCCTCCTCCTCCACATCACCAGGGTCTTCATCGCCCCGTTTCGGCCCCGTCCCCATCGCTGCTTTCTTGCCCCTCCTTCCGCCGGATGTTTTTCTTGCTGCGGGTCGGCCCTTCTGGCGCAATGCATGACTCGTTGCCTTGCCACTAGCTTCACTGGCGCCTCGTGTTGTCCCAGAGCGCCACCTGCGTCGTCAGCACTGCATGTCGTTTGCCGCCTCTTCGTTTGCGTGTTGATGTCCCTGGGCACGGCAGTGTCATAATCGTCCTCCACATCACTCTTCCTCTGCCTATGCCTCCGCGTCCACCAGGAGGAGGAGAGCTGCCGACGTCGGCGAAGCTGTGGTTAGGATCCTCCATCGACTCGCGCTCCCCCACTTTGTTCTTATCCAGCACGGCAGCAGAAATTTCGACCACGGTCGGCTGGAGCAGCGTCAGATGGTGTTGCGATGTCTGCGCCTCGAACTCCTTGGTTGCGGCATGCTCGGCGCGGGGATCACCTCCGAAGCTTCCCCCTGTCGCTGATCCCTCTCTCTCCGCTGACGGGACTGCAAGACTCGCGCTCCCTCGCCCCGGATCTTCGTTGCCGCCACAGGTGCCGTCGTTAGTCGGACCGGGCTCGGTTCCAGCAGAGGCAACATCCGCATCTTTGTTCACTGTAGAAACACGCTTTGGTGGTGTTGGTTGCTTCCCCTTGTCTTCCGCCTTCTTGTCAGACTTCTCTTGACCGCGCCCGACCTTCTTTGCCGCCATTTTTTTCAGCCCAATGCCACGCGCGACGGACGCACACCACCCTCCCTATCGGTCTGTTTAGTCATCATCCTTGTCGCGCGGTGTCCAGCCTGTTCCTCCTTCATTGCTTTTTGACGTGTTGCACGTGTCATGGTTGGTGTAGGAATGCAAATTTCTATCGCGCGGAACGGGTGAGCCAATTTCGAAGAGGTGCAACTGAATCCCACAAAGGGATTATCGACAGTCTATCACTGTTATCTTTTTCCGAAAGCCGCAGGTTCAACTCAAAATGAAATAGTAGGCACTAAGCACAGAGCTACGGCCCATGACTTAGTGTACTGGTGAGATGGCGATTTGGAGATGCATGTGTCAAACAACGAGCAGCGTCAAAGTGTTGGCCCAGAGGGTGACGAAAGCAGGTGGGTGGGGCACGAGGGTGGTTGGGGTGGGTTACGAGACTAGAAAGATTACCATAACCCTATCAGGCTTATTGGACGGTGTACGTGTAGCCACCCGAGCATAAACCCACCTACCGCTTTATCTCAGCCGCTCAATGGCAGTAGTAACACTTGGCTGGTGCTTATGTTGCGGGAGGAATCGTTTGAAATGCGCACTTTGTCTCATGTCACACACACAAAGAGAATCCAGAAGTAATACTTGTGACAGTTGTACTGCGCACTTGTAGGCTTTGCCACAACGCGTACTCGACAGCAGGCAATATTCTAACACGACGATGAATAGTAACAAACGAGAAACAGTTGTGGTATGGTGTTGGATTCTCATCCATCCTTGCACGGACATTCAACACGGTGCTTAAAAGGAGTGGTATAAAGCACAGACCCAACGCATAAGCGGTGATGCGTTATCGTCAGCCATGTTTAGACAGTGCGACGTTGGAGCGTTCGGGCCTGTGTGTTGCGCGACATGGTGAATCCGTTGTGGTATGGTGTTGAATTCTCATCCATTCTTGCACGGACATTCAACAAGGTGCTTAGAAGGAGTGGTATGAAGCAAAGGCTCAACGCACAAGCGGCGATGCGTTATCCACAGCCATGTTTAGACAGTGCGACGTTGCAGCATTCAGGCATGTGTGTTGCGCGACATGGTGAATCCGTTGTGGTATGGTGTTGGATTGTCATCCATTCTTGCACGGACATTCAACAAGGTGCTTAGAAGGAGTGGTATGAAGCAAAGGCTCAACGCACAAGCGGCGATGCGTTATCCACGGCCATGTTTAGACAGTGCATCGTTGCAGCATTCAGGCATGTGTGTTGCGCGACATGGTGAATCCGTTGTGGTATGGTGTTGGATTGTCATCCATTCTTGCACGGACATTCAACAAGGTGCTTAGAAGGAGTGATATGAAGCACAGTCTCAACGCACAAGCGGCGATGCGTTATCGACAGCCATGTTTAGACAGTGCATCGTTGCAGTGTTCAGGCCTGTGTATTGCGCGACATGGTAAATCCGTTGTGGTATGCTGTTGGATTATCATCCATTCTTGCACGGACATTCAACAAGGTGCTTAGAAGGAGTGGTATGAAGTAGAGGCCCAACGCACAAGCGGTGATGCGTTGTCTACAGCCATGTTTAGACAGTGCGACATTGAAGCATTGGGGCGTTACGGTTGCGCGACATGGTGAATCCGTTGTGGTATGGTGTTGGATTGTCATCCATTCTTGCACGGACATTCAACAAGGTGCTTAGAAGGAGTGGTATGAAGTAGAGGCCTAACGCACAAGCGGTGATGCGTTGTCTACAACCTTGTTTAGACAGTGCGACGTTGCAGCATTAGGGCCTTACGGTTGCGCGACATGGTGAATCCGTTGTGGTATGGTGTTGGATTGTCATCCATTCTTGCACGGACATTCAACAAGGTGCTTCTAAGGAGTGGTATGAAGCACAGGCTTAACGCACAAGCGGCGATGCGTTATCAAATGCCATGTTTAGACAGTGCGACGTTTCAGCGTTCGGGCCAGTGTGTTGCGCGACATGGTAAATGCGTTGTGGTATGGCGTTGGATTGTTAATCATTCTTGCACGGACATTCAACAAGGTGCTTAGAAGGAGTGGTATGAAGCACAGGCCCAACGCACGAGCGGTGATGCGTTATCTACAGCCATGTGTAGACAGTGCGACGTTGCAGCATTAGGGCCTTACAGTTGCGTGACATGGTGAATCCATTGTGGTATGGTGTTGGATTATCATCCATTCTTGCACGGACATTCAACAAGGTGCTTAGAAGGAGTGGTATGAAGCACTCAACGCACAAGCGGCGATGCGTTATCGAATGCAATGTTTAGACAGTTTGACGTTGCAGCGTTTGGGCCAGTGTGTTGCGTGACATGGGGAATGCGTTGTGGTATGGCGTTTGATTGTCATCCATAAATGTACGGACATTCAACAACGTGCTTAGAAGGAGTGGTATAAATCACAGGCTCAACGTACAAGCGGCGATGCGTTATCAACAGCCATGTGTCGGAAACCCTCCGTCTGCCGGTCCTGCTCTGCTCCCTCCCCTCTTCTCGGGCTATAGCTCCCCTTCTCTCTCCCTTCTCATGCTGTGCCTTGCACCCTCCTCTGGTGGTTCTCTCCCTCCCTTGCTCCTCTCCTTACCCCTTTTTCACTCCCCTTCAGCCCTACCCCACCTTCTGCTATCCTTTGTCCTTGCTAGTTTCCTCCTCAGACCCTCCTTGCCCCCTCCCATGACGCAATGCCGCCGTCCTCGCGCGCGTCATGGGACCCTGCGGTCCGCCCTTCGCCATCTCCGAGCGGATCCTGGCCACATTGGTCACATGGTCCACCACCCTCTTCCCCTTCCCGTCCTCCAGAACGATCACCCCTGAGGGTCGCACTTCCTTCATGGTCCAACGCTGCTGGGATAGCCCCACGTCAAGCGCGTGCTTGTGCTGCCTCCTGATGTACACCTCCTCCTCCCCTCGTACTCCTGCTGTCGCTCCCTTGCCGCTTGCCTCCTGCCTCCGCTTGTACCGCTTGATGTCCCGCAGCTGGGCAACGTGCAGGTTCTCCAGTGCTGCTGGCAGCAGATGCCTGGGGTATGCCGCCCGCGCGTCTGCCACTGCCACCCACTTCTCGGGTGAACCCGTAGCGACCACATCCACCAGCAGCTTTGGTGCGCCCACTGGTAGCACCGGTTCCTTGCCGAATAGCAGGTAGTACGGTGAGACGTCCTTCAGCGCCGCCTGCTTGCTGAAACGGTATCCCGCCATGACCCAGCAGAGCTTCCTGTCCCAGTCCCTCTTGTGTTCCTCCCCATAAGCTCTCAGCCCCTTCTTCACTGTCTGCACCAGCCTTTCCGTCAGCCCGTCACTCTGGGGTGATAGCGCGAAGTGGTCCTGTGCCTTATACCGCTGGCCTGCAGCAGCTGGTCGAAGGCCCCCGCGAACTCGGTCCCCTCCGTCAGCACCTCTCCGCATGCCCCCAACCTGGTGATCACCATCTCCTCAAAGGCCTCCGCCACTGCTTCCGCTGACTTGTGCACCAGGGGCCTTGCTTCTGCCCACTTGCTGACATGCTCCACCATGAGTAAGATGTACCTGCGCCCCTTCGTGGTGACCAGCAGCTCTCCCGCTATGTCTAGCGACCATCTGTATCCCAAGCTCACTATGGGCAGCGGTTGCAGCTCTGCCTTCTCCCTTTCCAGCACAGCCCTGTTCCTACAGCAGGCCTCACACCTGCCTACCCAGTCCTTGATCTGCTGCCGCACCCCCGCCCACCACCATCCCATCTGCACCAGCTGCTGTGTGCGCAGTGGTCCATAATGCCCTAGCTTCGCGTGCACTTCGCTGATGATGCCCTCTCTGTCTGCTGGCGGCGGGACATGTTTCCACCCTTCCCCCGTTCGTAGCTGCACCTTCCCTTTGAACCAACGGTAGTGCTCGCCTCTGGCTCGCACTCGAGCTGACACCGCCCCTTCTTCTGTGGTTGCCCCCTGAATCCATGCTAGTGCTGCCTGGTCCTCCCAGATGTCTGCCGGTCCCCCTTTCTGCTCTCCCCAGACCTGTCCCTTACTTGCTTCCTTCGCCATCGCCATGAGGCAGGGCGATGGCTGCACTTCTGGTGGGTTCCGCGACAGCCCGTCAACGTGCTGCATGGTCTTGCCTGGCCGGTGCCTGATCTCGAAGTCATATTCTTGCAGCTTCATTGCCCAGCGCGCGTTCCGCCCCGTGAGGTCTGGCGTCTGCATCAGCCAGAGCAGCGGCTGGTGATCTGTCACCAGCGTGAACTTCCTGCCTTGCAGGTAAACCCGGAAATGCTTCACCGCCCAGACTACCGCCCGTCCCTCTCCCTCGTAGGAGAAGTAATCC